CAGGCGTTTAATCCTAGAATTAAAGTTAGGATAAACATTACATTTATAAGTGACATGCTCTTGTTCACAGAACAGACATCTTTCTCTTTCTGAATTTGTCTTCTTGGTAGACACATCAACTACAGTCTCAGAGGGAGATACAGAATAAATGCCTGTTACCACTCCTCTTTCCAGTGGATGGAGCAGTCTTAGAATTAAATTTACTAAACTTATTCAAAGTCGGTTTTGGTTTAACTGAATTATCAATATTAGGTTGCTTAAACTCAGGTTTAATTTTATCATGAGTTTTCAACCTGTTAACTATGATTCTTAACCCCTCAAATATTTGATCGAGAATGAGAAACTCGGTTTTGTAGAGTGAGCAGATTTCTGCTAAAATGTTTCGAAGTAATTTCCTCTGTAAAAGCAACTTAATAGACCATTCGGAAGCTGGTACATCAACTTTAGGACTGAAAGCTTTCACTAGTGACTCTGCTTCCAACCTAAAGCTTTGAAGGGCGTCTGGTCGCTTACTTGGTGCATTCAGATCCGACAATTGATAATACAGGTTAGCTATACTTAACTCTTTGTTGCAATAATTCAACTTTAACAGTTTGATTGCTTCTTCATAATTACTCTGAGAGCTAGATTATTTATGACCTTTTTAGCCTCCCCTTTGAGAAGACTGTTTAGGTAAGAAAATTTAGAAACCTTGTCAAGAGAAGGTTTTGCATGTATGTGGACTTCAAATGAAGTCCAAAATGTGTCCGTTTTCTTCATCCAGTCCTGCAAATGTAGGCAAGTCTAAAGTAGGTAAACGAGCCTCAGGTAGTTGTACACTGGATTGAGACACAGTAGTAATTTGCATTTAATATATGTTGACTTACTATACCTGGTTGATGGGGTTCTGGGAGTTCTTCTACTCCCCAAGCCCGGCCCGAGGCCAGACTTGACTTGTGAGAGTTTGGTCCACCAGGCTGTTGCTTGGAGCAGCCCGCAGGCCCACATACCCCCCACTAGCCTGGTTGGTCCGGCACTCCTTTAAGGAAACAATCTAGTTTCCTCTTGAAAATGTCCACGGTTGTTCCGGCAATATTTCTGATGCTCGCTGGTAGGACGTTGAACAACCGTGGACCTCTGATGTTCATACAGTGTTCTCTGATTGTGCCCATGGCACCTCTGCACCTATATTAAGTAGAACATTAAGCTTGTCTTGGGTGTCATCTTCATATTGAGATGTTTCAGCTATAGCTTGATCTATTTCATCAGGCTCAGTTTCTGCTGTATTTAGTATGTCAATATGAGAACTGATGGTAGATCTGACTTGATCAAATTTGAGATCAGCTACTCAAGTGACATTTCTAATTGATTGTAATCAATGGGAGTTGCTTTAGATAATGTTTCAGACTTATTGATCAGTCTTGTTAAGTGACCTTTAAGGCCAATAAAGGTTCTCCTTAATTTCTCAGGAGAAGCCATTTTAAGTTCAAGTTTCATAGGACTTGAATAAGTGTTGCTAAAGTAGCTTGGGTACTTGCTCATTAGTTGGCAAATAAATTGAAGATAGCCTAAATTATTCTGGCTAAGTTGCACTCTACCCCATTCTGGTTAAATGCATCTACCTAACAACAAGTAGCTAAGATGTGAGTGATATTTGAATGTCACTATTGGAATTTCTCCTGGCTAGCTCTTCACTATCACCATTCAATGGAATAGTGAGCATTCAGTAGCACTCAAAAAATATACACAAAAATAGTGAATACACAATAAATGGTTTATATATCCCACCCTCAGAGTCAGCACAATAGTAAATATAATGTACTTAGATCCCACCCTGTCTTAGGGTCAGCACAATAGTAAATAATATAATGTACACTACTGATTAGTTCAAGACTAGTTGAAATAATGTCTACTAAAGAAACTACTAAGTTATTTAGTCTGCATTTGTGCAAAACTCAGCACAACCAGTCTAAATTCCTACCTAATAAAGGTCTGCAAAAAATTAATTAATGGTTCAGTAATGTGAATATAATTGTGTTTTTTTTTTTTTTTTAGATTTTGTAATATATATATGTGCACGTGCACACACAAGTGAAAATTATGAAATATATTCAGTTAAATTTGGCTTGCTAGCCACAACCTTTTGTGATGGTTGATTGTGTTGACCAATTTATCAACTACATGTGACCTAGACTCACCTGACAGGTGTACACCATCTCTTGCCAGGTTTGTCTATATGGTCTGGTTGTAAATTGTATGTAAGTGGCATCCAATCATACTCTTTTTCCTCAGCCAAAAGTTAATATATTTGGCAGCAAGTTGGTAATATTCTGCATTTACTCCCCAACGATTATCGTTACTTAGTTGGCGATGTTCTACTAATGTGAACACTACTGAATTGCTAACAAGTTTAAATGACGAAATTATTGTTTTAAGGTGATTAATTACATTAGCTGGGTGTCGAGTAGGATGGATGTCATTACCAACTAAGTAAATTATTGTTAGATGGTGAGGTCAATCTAATGCAGGTGATAATGTAAAGTTATTGTAAAAATTGTGAGCTGTTGCTCCTGGTGACCTGAAAATTCTTACCTCAGTGTGAGGTATAAGTCAGAGTGTTGTGGACAACTGACTGTGTCCCTCTAGTGCTACCTTATACATGAGGTATAGACAGCAAATATTATAAATTGGTGTGGGTTAGGCTAACATATGTGGTACACTGCTGGTAACCACAGATAATGAAATATGTTTAACATAATACTACACAACGTGATTAGTAATGATTAATTATAATCCATCCAGTTCGAAGGACTAAAATGTTGGGTATCTGGAACTTTAACTCATATATATAAATATTTAATTAAGAGAATTAATATACTCGAAGGACCGCCCACTTTTGAGAAAAGAGGGAAAACAAATAGAGATTATAAGACTGACACTGTAGAACCAGTGCCTTTGTATGTTTGATTATTTAGCATATATTTAAAGAGAATGAATGGACTGTAATAATAGTTAAAATCCTCAAACATCAATATTGGGGGGTATTACTAGAAATTCATATATATCTTGGAACTAGTGTGGTTTGTCACCAGTTCATTAATTAGTAAAGGTTATAGAATCCTGAATTGAATGTAGATTCTAACAGATTATGATATAATAAATGATCAAATCTATGAAATATTACCAGATCCTAGGAAATAATAAGTGCAAACTTATTGAACACTGAGCAGTATATTATTGACTTATATTACTCCTCTTGAATATTATATTCATGTAAAACAAATTAGTAATAATAATCGTCATAGTCTATGAAATGTTGTTTATGGCTTAGCTGTGAGACAACTCCACTAAATCCGTTTCACTACTCGTAGTCGTGATCTCGTCGTGCAAATAAGAAACACCAGTGGTGAACAACGTAGGTGGAGGAAGAAATGGTTGGTTCGTCCTCGCCTACACACTGTAATCAGGGAAATTTGAGTAACATTTGACTAGGCTGGAAAATTATTCCAATATTCACTGAAATTGGAAAATAAAGTTGAAAAACTAACATTTTGTTTGTGGTCTGCGTATATCCTAACGACAGGCTACCCACAGAAATATACTAGAGAATGATGAATCAAACTACAATGTATACTTAACGTAAGCATGTTGGAACACTTAGGCCTGCCGGTATCACGTCTGCCAGTCCCTGACGTTCACTGCTGTGGACAAGTAATTGCGGGACGTGGCGATCTTTGTTGACGCGCAATTGAACAATTTCTAGTACTGTATGACCACGCGATCTTGATACAATGGCTGCCATCAGTAGAGGCACGTGTACACCTCGCGGAGCCCTATGCTTGAAAGAACGTTTCCCTCCTGCCCCGACGCTCGATCACGCATGAGCAGAGACGCTCATAGCGATCCCGGACTTAAACTAATTCGGTTTACTATTAATTATTTGGGGAAAACGAAGAAGTACAATTTAAACTATCACCAATATATATATTGGATAATAATACCTCTTCTCGTAAGGCAGTTGATCTAATTAACATTGCACAAATTGAACGAGAAGGGTTGACGTGTATTTATTTTATGCCACAGTAATATTTTACTGGAATAATTCAATTGGTTAAATAGTTGAGCTCAGTACACATAAGCATGCGGTTTCCGCCCGAAGGTCGGCCATCTTGGCGCGCGGATTGAACGCTCCTGGCTGGACGTTATTTCCACACCTTTACCTGGAACTCATCTTTGAATTCAGCTGGCTTCTTTGGGCCAGTGTGTGCTCACTGCAGCTACCCAGGGGCTCACAGGACTGGGGTAGGCCGGAGCCTCCCTAATGGACGCCTCCCCGAGCGGGGGCGCCATGGATGTTGACAGCAAGTCCCAGAGAGGAAAACGTCTGCTGGAAAATGAGTCGGCTGATGCTGCCCCAGAGCGAGACGCTAAGAGGATGTCTTCCCCTTCAGAAGACCTTAGTCTTGTGGTACCCCGTTCCTCGTTTGTGGTAGTCCTAATCCAGTCAGAATCAGGTCAGTGCGTCTTTGCAAATCCTCGTACCTTAGGTGCAGCAATCGAGGCTTCCGTATTGTGGCCACATTGCCTGCCTGAGACCATACGTACCCTGGGTAGGGGTGCAGCACTGAAGCTACATATCAGAAAGGAGGCTCTATCACACATCTGTGTATCCGACATTATTAAGTTGGGGGACTGGCCTGTCAGGTGCCGACAGGTATTGTCGCAGGAGGAGGAGTCTCAAGCCCGGTATGGGAAGATTGGCCCAATTGACCAGAGTGTAGATGTGGATGACATCCAGGTCGCTCTGCAGGTATTAGGGGGTGCATCAGCGAGATTATTGGAAGTTACCAGGATTCGCGGAGCAGCAGGGCCGACATCCATGGTCCGTGTAAAGTTCGATGGGCACCTCCCTGACCGAGTGGCACTACACAGGACCTCGTATCAGGTTCAGCCCTACAATTTCCCTGAATTACGATGTTACGCTTGTCATCTATTGGGCCACAGTCGCCTCACCTGCCGTAATGCAGCACGTTGTGCAAACTACGGCAAAACAGGCCATTCAGACAGAGATAACGGTGGGTGCTCTGCTGCACCTCGCTGCTTTTTATGCCTTGGCCATCATAAGGTTACGTCTAAGAGTTGCCCTGTATATCTTGAGGCCCTCCAGTTGGACATCGATCATAAAACAGCGGGGACACCTCGACATGAGCTGTTCCAGAAGTTGCGCACCCTCAATCAACCTATCGCTTCTCGTCTCCAGGTTCCCCCTGGTCGGGTCTCTTCACAAGTAGGAACTAGCAGACGCTCTTGCCTGTCCCAGTCACATGCCTCATACGCCCAGGTTGCTAATCGATTTTCCCTCCTGGGTAGCCTTGACACTGACGGAAACTCATCCACGGATACAGACATGGACGCTCAGTCTCGGCCGGAGCCTAGCACTTGTCACCCTCCTGCCTCTCCTCAAAGAAGCCAACACCGGCGTCGTCGACACACCCATCGATCAGGAGGTACTACTCCAACAGATAGTCCTGATGATCCTCTGGTCCCCCAGGCACTTTCCCAAGGGATTGTGACACCGGGGGAACACGAGGCCCAGAGTGAGGCTCCCACCAGTCGCAGACGCCGTCAAGAGAGTTCGCGAGCCGACCACCGCTTCCGTCAGGCAGAGAGAAGCATAGATCAACATCCTCTGGACTGGAAGTCATTGATACCACACATTTTACTTACTTTGTATGAGGGTTTTATGGCTTTTTCTAGTGGTTCCCCCTTTGGAGACGTCTGTGCACTGGTGGTCAAAAAGTTAGCTGTTGTATTTCAGGGATAATGGCGCCCCATCCTGAGAATACTGTGGTGTTTTGGAATGCCCGCTCCCTTTTAAGAAGACGCAATTTCTACGCAATTTTGATTCCACCCCGCGTCCATGGACTCGTCATCATTCTCGACTCCTCGACACTGCCATCACTCGTCTCCGGATTGGGCACACTTGCCTGGCCGCACATCACCATCGTCTACGGCTGGTAGATTCCCCATACTGCCAGTGGTGTCTGACCCAGGAGGATACAGTGGTGCACCTTCTTTACTGCCCTCGATTTCATAGCGCTCGCGTCAGACTACAGAGTGCTGTTCGTAGGCTGAATATTCCCCGCCTCACAGTTCCCGTTCTCCTTGACGGGGCAGGTGCGAGAGATGAAGACGTTCGTCATGACGTCCTTCGCCATACCTTCCGCTTCATCCGTCATGTCCGTGGCCTGAAGAGACTGTAAAATTTGTGGCCTGAGGAGATTGTAGGGTCTATGGCCTGAAGAGACTATAGGGACCCCATCCCTCCGCTATTTCCCGGTATCGGGCAGCCGGGGCGCATCCGATCCCACGATCGTCGTCGCCCCTAAATCAACACAACAACAACACATAAGCATGCGAAATGGTTATTTCTTTCATAATGAACAATAATTTAGAGAGTGTAATTAACTGAATTCTATATATCTCCAACATGTGTGAGAGACTTCATGTTTAAGCCTGCTATCGACGCCTGGCGTCATGATGGCTGGGAATTTTCTGGGAAAATTATGCCTTACTATGGAAACGCTAACGCTATTAATTCTACGTGTTAGTATTATTAGTAAATATTAATATTAGGAGTTAAGGGAGAAAAATCTGTTGGTTATTTCCAATACTTGTTAGTACTGGTGCAGTTGTTAGTACTGGTACTGTTAGTTCTTGTGCTGTTAGTGCTGGTGCTGTTGTGGTTGTGGTGCTGTTAGTTCTTGTGCTGTTGTCGTTGTGGTGTTGTTAGTGCTGGTGCTCTTGTGGTGGTGGTACTGTTAGTGCTGGTGCTGTTGTTAGTGATGGTGCTGTTGTTAGTGCTGGTGCTGTTGCGGTGGTGCTGCTGTTAGTGCTGGTGCTGTTGTTAGTGGTGGTGGTGGCGCTGTTGTTAGTGCTGGTGTTGCTGTTAGTTCTGATGCTGTTGTTAGTTCTGATGCTGTTGTTCGTGCTGCTGTTGCTGGTAGTGTTGATGCTGTTGTGGTGGTGGTCCGGTTGTTAGTGCTGGTGCTGTTGTTTATGCTGGTGCCGCTGTTAGTGCTAGTGCTGTTGTTAGTGCTGTTGTTAGTGCTGGGGCTGTTGTGGTGGTGGTGCTGTTGTTGGTGGTGGTGCTGTTGTTGGTGGTGGTGGTGCTGTTGTTGTTGCTGTTGTTGGTGCTGTTGCTGTTGGTGCTGTTGTGGTGGTGGTGCTGTTGTGGTGGTGGTGCTGTTGTGGTGGTGGTGCTGTTGTTGGTGGTGGTGCTGTTGTTGGTGGTGGTGCTGTTGTTGGTGCTGTTGCTGTTGTTGCTGTTGTAGTGGTGGTGCTGTTGTGGTGGTGGTGCTGTTGTTGGTGGTGGTGCTGTTGTTGGTGGTGGTGGTGCTGTTGTTGGTGGTGGTGCTGTTGTTGGTGGTGGTGCTGTTGTTGGTGGTGGTGCTGTTGTTGGTGGTGGTGCTGTTGTTGGTGGTGGTGCTGTTGTTGGTGGTGGTGCTGTTGTTGGTGGTGGTGCTGTTGTTGGTGCTGTTGCTGTTGTTGCTGTTGTAGTGGTGGTGCTGTTGTGGTGGTGGTGCTGTTGTTGGTGGTGGTGCTGTTGTTGGTGCTGTTGCTGTTGTTGCTGTTGTAGTGGTGGTGCTGTTGTTGGTGGTGGTGCTGTTGTTGGTGGTGGTGCTGTTGTTGGTGGTGGTGATGTTGTTGGTGGTGGTGCTGTTGTTGGTGCTGTTGTGGTGGTGGTGCTGTTGTGGTGGTGGTGCTGTTGTTGTTGGTGCTGTTGTGGTGGTGGTGCTGTTGCTGTTGGTGCTGTTGTAGTGGTGGTGCTGTTGTGGTGGTGGTGCTGTTGCTGTTGGTGCTGTTGTAGTGGTGGTGCTGTTGTAGTGGTGGTGCTGTTGTTGGTGGTGGTGCTGTTGTTGGTGGTGCTGTTGTTGGTGGTGGTGCTGTTGTTGGTGCTGTTGTAGTGGTGGTGCTGTTGTTGGTGCTGTTGTAGTGGTGGTGCTGTTGTTGGTGGTGGTGCTGTTGTTGGTGGTGGTGCTGTTGTTGGTGGTGGTGCTGTTGTGGTGGTGGTGCTGTTGTGGTGGTGGTGCTGTTGTAGTGGTGGTGCTGTTGTTGGTGGTGGTGCTGTTGTTGGTGGTGGTGCTGTTGTGGTGGTGCTGTTGTGGTGGTGCTGTTGTTGGTGCTGTTGTTGTTGGTGGTGTTGTTGTTGGTGGTGCTGTTGTTGGTGGTGGTGCTGTTGTTGGTGGTGGTGCTGTTGTTGGTGCTGTTGTGGTGGTGGCGCTGTTGTTGGTGGTGGTGCTGTTGTGGTGGTGCTGTTGTTGGTGGTGGTGCTGTTGTTGGTGGTGGTGCTGTTGTTGGTGCTGTTGTGGTGGTGGTGCTGTTGTTGGTGGTGGTGCTGTTGTTGGTGGTGGTGCTGTTGTTGGTGGTGGTGCTGTTGTTGGTGGTGGTGCTGTTGTTGGTGGTGGTGGTGCTGTTGTTGGTGCTGTTGTGGTGGTGGTGCTGTTGTTGGTGGTGGTGGTGCTGTTGTTGGTGGTGGTGCTGTTGTGGTGGTGGTGCTGTTGTTGGTGCTGTTGTGGTGGTGGTGCTGTTGTTGGTGGTGGTGGTGCTGTTGTTGGTGGTGGTGCTGTTGTTGGTGGTGGTGCTGTTGTTGGTGGTGGTGCTGTTGTTGGTGGTGGTGCTGTTGTTGGTGCTGTTGTAGTGGTGGTGCTGTTGTGGTGGTGGTGCTGTTGTTGGTGGTGGTGGTGCTGTTGTAGTGGTGGTGCTGTTGTTGGTGGTGGTGCTGTTGTTGGTGCTGTTGTAGTGGTGGTGCTGTTGTTGGTGGTGGTGCTGTTGTAGTGGTGGTGCTGTTGTTGGTGGTGGTGCTGTTGTTGGTGGTGGTGCTGTTGTAGTGGTGGTGCTGTTGTTGGTGGTGGTGCTGTTGTTGGTGGTGGTGCTGTTGTGGTGGTGCTGTTGTGGTGGTGGTGCTGTTGTGGTGGTGGTGCTGTTGTTGGTGGTGATGCTGTTGTTGGTGGTGGTGCTGTTGTTGGTGGTGCTGTTGTTGGTGGTGGTGCTGTTGTTGGTGGTGGTGCTGTTGTGGTGGTGGTGCTGTTGTGGTGGTGGTGCTGTTGTGGTGGTGGTGGTGCTGTTGTGGTGGTGGTGGTGCTGTTGTTGTGGTGGTGGTGCTGTTGTTGGTGGTGGTGGTGCTGTTGTTGTGGTGGTGCTGTTGTTGGTGGTGCTGTTGTTGTGGTGGTGGTGCTGTTGTGGTGGTGCTGTTGTTGTGGTGGTGCTGTTGTTGTGGTGGTGCTGTTGTTGGTGGTGGTGCTGTTGTTGTGGTGCTGTTGTTGGTGGTGGTGGTGCTGTTGTTGTGGTGGTGGTGCTGTTGTGGTGGTGCTGTTGGTGGTGGTGGTGCTGCTGTTGGTGCTGTTGTAGTGGTGGTGCTGTTGTTGTTGTTGGTGGTGCTGTTGTTGGTGCTGTTGCTGTTGTAGTGGTGGTGCTGTTGTGGTGGTGGTGGTGCTGTTGTTGGCGCTGGTGGTGCTGTTGGTGGTGGTGGTGCTGTTGTTGTTGGTGCTGTTGTAGTGGTAGTGCTGTTGTAGTGGTGGTGCTGTTGTAGTGGTGATGCTGTTGTAGTGGTGATGCTGTTGTAGTGGTGATGCTGTTGTGGTGGTGGTGCTGTTGTGGTGGTGGTGCTGTTGTGGTGGTGCTGTTGTGGTGGTGCTGCTGCTGTTGTGGTGGTGGTGGTGCTGTGGTTAGTGGTGGTGCTGTTGTAGTGGTGGTGCTGTTGTAGTGGTGGTGATGTTGTAGTGGTGGTGATGTTGTAGTGGTGGCCTCCACAATAAGTGTCCACAGCACCTGTGAGAGCCACTTAGGGGCCCACAAATATGTGAGCCCAGGCCCTGACGTCTTGCCAGTGAGGGCCTGGTGCCCCGAGACGTTTTGAGGGCTCGGGCTCTGGGCTCGGGGCTGGAGGTTCAGGGGTCGGGGCTCGGGGGTGGACATCCGGTAAGGGGTGCGGGTCTTGGCGACCATCTTCAGCTTTGTCTTGAGCAATTCCAGATGATTGTTCCTCTGTCATTATATTCTAAGGCGAAGATCCGGTTGTGTGTGTGTGGGGGGGGGGCGGGGGAGTGCGGGCGCACGTGTCTAATTACCTGAGGGTTATTACCTAAGATAATTACACAGGGGAGGTAGGCGCTCGTGGTGTACCGGCGGCTCTATAGTTGTTGACGCACGCCGTATTGAAGCTTCCGAAGGGTCGGGTTGTGCCTTGAACTGTTATCCCACCGCCCGCGCGTGTATGTGTATATTATCTAATGTGTGTTTGTACTCACCTAGTTGACCTTGCGAGGGTTGAGCTCTGGCTCTTTGGGCGCGCCTCTCAACTGTCAGTCAATCAACTGATGTTTTGATGAAGTGAGCACATTACCCCCGGGTGCACCAGCGACAACACAGCACCTCCCCACCTGACGGCTCACTAGGCTGCCACCGTCCCCAGAGGGCGGGAGGCACAGCGGTCGGTGTCAGGGGTGATATATGTAACAGTAGTCTTGGTCTCCTGGTCACCGTCACTCATGTAAATGTTGATGCTATATAACCTACGGCTAGAGACGAGGGAAAAGCTTTCAGTGCGGCGCCCTCCACAGTAGAGCTCTCGAGTATGAGGCTACCCTCCCCGGTCTATCCAAGGTTATCTTTCCTCTCTTAGTGGCTGTTATCTCATTACTAGCAAGTTCACATATAGGTCAGACGTGGCATAAATTGGTATGAAGCCTAATGAAAACAGCTTATTTAGAAAGGACAAAACATTTTCTAAAGAAAGATATATAATGGAAATGATAACTTGTCTCTGCTAGCCTCATTTAAATTGTAAAGCAAACGGTCACTCGACCTTCAGTGACACTAATGTTATTCTGCTCAATCAATACAATGTTACTTTAACATTTAAATGCAATTTACACAAAAGCAAGAAGCTTTGTAATTAATCTCTATCAAGATAGCAAAACATTCAAAAATGTTAATAATCATTCAATAGTCCTAGGCTTCACTTCACCAAATAACGTAGTTAATTTTCTCTAAGTGCATGTACACATAAACTGGCTTCTTCCTAGGTATATATATAGATAATTCTAAAGCATCTTGGCATATGAGTTTACATGAATCAAATTCCTTGCGGTTCCCATTGGAATTTGTAATGAACAAAAGGGGTAAGGGGAGGGCAGATTACTCAGCCATGGCTGATGTTATCTGTGCGGCCTGAAGCTATCCTTGTGCAGCTGTCGTTGTGGAGCTGTGCTTACTGCTGCCTCGATGACGTCACTGCGTCCTCAGCTGATCCATGACGTCACACGTATCCTTGCCCCACCTCTTGCCCCTACTCAACATTTCAGACGTGGCGCAGGTCATCCATTAGGCTCTTCCGTAGTAATCACAAAGAGACAGACACGGCATTCTCTGAGGGGTTGATCTTGCTGCCTGTGGTGAGGCCACTCTGGGAAGCTCAGTACCGTGTTGTTCGGCACACCACCACCTAACAGTCTGGACATTATGGATGGAGCAATTATCCTGTTAAATGATCCATAGAACGATTTAACTAACTATTAACAATTCAGGGCGAATATATGATAACATATTTTGAGGTTAATCTTAACAGAAAACAACGAATCTAGTAAAATAAATGGCCAATGGCAAGCCTGAGTAACATTATTGACTGAACGGTAGGATTATGTTAGCTTATATGACGGAAAATCTTTATTAAATTAGCAATACAATACCTGCATGATAGAGTTTGCTCAGGGTCGGAGAGAGCTTTTGTGCACACAGAAGGCACAACCACTTCCTCCAAAATCTCAACACACGTGTCACCACTGAAGCCTCCCAGAACATTAGTACGTTCCCCTGCACCGTATAAGTGACTCCACCCCCATTACATTGCACGATATATAACCACTTCTAGCGATTTCATATGTAAACTGCTGCTCATATCATGTGTTGTTGGGACGCCAGAGGTGTAATCTGGCATGAGTTGCTGCTGTGAGTCTTCCCATCACTGACCATTACACGGGGCCGGTAATTCTTCATTGACATCTTGACAAGATATGTCAACTAAGGGCTCACCATAGCCCGTGCTGCTTGGAACTGTTTGTTCCAGGTGGCGGATCTTTAACAACAACAACAGATATGTCAATCTTCGTTGACATATCTTCCACCCACCAGTCTGGTTACATGATCTCGTGGCATGTGTCGTCGTGGCATGTGACGTTATGGCATGTGTGGGAACCGACCTGTGAGATTTATATTTATTTAATTTATATGAATTTATATTTACGTTAATTTATATACTTCGATAGCAATTTGTATAATGATAAGTGGACTGTATTTCTGCAATAATCTCAATCTCACAAATCGATCCTCTACACATTAGGGGGGGTTTATATTTATATATATGCAGCCAATCAAACTACAGTATTAACTACATACATTGAAGAGGTTCCTTATCTTATAGTACAGCAGGTTAGTCCACCAGGTATAACTAGGGTGTAGACACCAAATTATCCTCTTTGAGGTAGCTTCCATCACCCAGTAACTGATGCACAAAGTCTTTGCTTCCTCGTCTTGACCTGTCAAAAGGGCGCTAGCTGTAAAGCCAGATACCTATATATGACAAGCTATATCAGAGAAAATACTGTACATGGAACAATAAAGACCTGGCTTAATTACCTTTAGTTTGAGGCTATGTCGTGCTCTAACTGGATCACCCTATATAATGACATTAATGGCCATAAATGAAAGATACATGGGTTTCGGAAAGAACACTTAACTTGAATTTGTTGACAGCGTGTGATAATGGTACACCTTTGGTTTCCATAACACTTCGTCCAAGTAAAATTAACAGGAGCCGAATTTGCTCCCGTGTGAGCCTCTGGTCTAGTATAAACAACAATGGCTGCCCTCCTTCCCCACTGACGCCTGGCTTACATTGTCCAGATTTCAGAAAGTGATAGAAGGGTCACATTTACTCTACTTTAATATTGATAATTAAGTTAATTTATATAAGATGTTTTTATGATAAAGTCCAAAGACTAATGTATTTAAGAATAATTCCCACCATAATAGGTGGTGAATTATAATAGTGTGTGGTGATATCCCGTTTTCTTTAGACGGTAATTCCACTACAAGTTACGTTTTCTATAGGTTACTTGTTGGTAATACAGCAGCAATTATTATCTGTATGATTATTAAATGGTGTCGGATTTTCCGACAGCATGTGACGTCGTGGCATGTGTCGTCGAGGCATGTGTCGTCGTGGCATGTGACGTCGTGGCATGTGTCGTCGAGGCATGTGTCGTCGTGGCATGTGTCGTCGAGACATGTGTCGTCGTGGCATGTGTCGTCGAGGCATGTGTCGTCGTGGCATGTGTCGTCGAGGCATGTGTCGTCGTGGCATGTGTCGTCGTGGCATGTGTCGTCGAGGCATGTAACGTTATGGCATGTGTCGTCGAGACATGTGTCGTCGTGGCATGTGTCGTCGAGGCATGTGTCGTCGTGGCATGTGTCGTCGTGGCATGTGTCGTCGTGGCATGTGTCGTCGAGGCATGTGTCGTCGTGGCATGTGTCGTCGAGGCATGTGTCGTCGTGGCATGTGTCGTCGAGGCATGTGACGTTATGGTATGTGTCGTCGAGGCATGTGTCGTCGTGGCATGTGTCGTCGAGGCATGTGACGTTATGGTATGTGTCGTCGTGGCATGTGTCGTCGAGGCATGTGTCGTCGAGGCATGTGTCGTCGAGGCATGTGTCGTCGTGGCATGTGTCGTCGTGGCATGTGTCGTCGAGGCACGTGTCGTCGGGTCACGTGTCGTCGGGTCACGTGTCGTCGAGGCACGTGTCGTCGAGGCACGTGTCGTCGAGGCACGTGTCGTCGAGGCACGTGTCGTCGAGGCACGTGTCGTCGAGGCACGTGTCGTCAAACTGAGCGCGTTCCCGGGTGTTCTGCCTGGCACCCGCCCGCCATCTTGTTCAGCAAAGTGTCCCACTTTCCACCTTCACAACTAAATATATTGTAACATCGCGCATGAGATGTGTTCCTTCTGAACTCAAAATAATGTTTAAGCTGTCTGCAACCTTCTTAGGTGGGGATAAATGGTTCTTGAGGCCGGAGTGGTCTGTTATTAGACAGCGATCTCAATAGTACTCGCCTAGCTGTGCTTGCAAGGGGTTGAGCTCTGGCTCTTTGGTCCCGCTCTCAGCTGTCAATCAACTGGTGTACAGATTCCTGAGCCTACTGGGCGCTATCATATCTATATTTGGAACTGTGTATTGAGTCAGCCTCCACCACATCACTTCCTAGTGCATTCTATTTGTTAACTACTCTGACACTGAAAATAATTCTTTATAATGTTTGTGACTCATTTGGGTACTAAGTTTCCACCTGTGTCCCCTTGTTCGTGTTCCACCCAAACAATATAATTTGTCTTTTTCCACGCTGTCAATTCCTCTGAGAATATTGTAGGTGATGATCATGTCTGCCCAAACTCTACTGTATTCCAGGGACTTGAGGTTAATTCTTGCAACCTTTCCTTGTAACTCATACCTCTCAGTTCTGGGACTAGTCTGGTGGTGTGGGAACCGACCTGTGAGATTTATATTTATTTAATTTATATGAATATATATAGAATTTATATTTACGTTAATTTATATACTTCGATAGCAATTTGTATAATGATAAGTGGACTGTATTTCTGCAATAATCTCTTAATCTCACAAATCGATCCTCTACACATTAGGGGGTGTTTATATTAATTGAATATATATGCAGCCAATCAAACTACAGTAATAGACTACATACATTGAAGAGGTTCCTTATCTTATTTGTACAGCAGGTTAGTCCACCAGGTATAACTAGGGTGTAGACACCAAATTATCCTCTTTGAGGTAGCTTCCATCACCCAGTAACTGGTGCACAAAGTCTTCCTCGTCTTGACCTGTCAAAAGGGCGCTAGCTGTAAAGCCAGATACCTATATATGACAAGCTATATCAGAGAAAATACTATACATGGAACAATGAAGACCTGGCTTAATTACCTTTAGTATGAGGCGATTTCGCGTTCTAACCGGACACCCTACCCAATGACATTAATGGCCACTAATGATAGATAAACGGGTTTCGGAAAGACACTTAACTTGAATTTGTTGACAGCGTGTGATAATGGTACACCTTTGGTTTCCATAACACTTCGTCCAAGTAAAATTAACAGGAGCCGAATTGCTCCCTGCGCCTCTGGTCTAGTATCAACAATGGCAATGTCTAACACTCCATACTATTGACGCTACTGGCCGACATTGTCCAGATATGATAGGAGCCGAATTTGCTCCACACGTCTCAGAGGTGACACAACAATGGCTCCCCTTCCTCCTCACTCTGACGCCTGGCTTACTTTGTCCACATGACAGAAAGTGATAGAATGGTCACATTTACTCTACTTTAATACTGATAATTAAGTTAATTTATATGAGATGTTTTTATGATGGTAAAGTCCAAAGACTAATGTATTTAAGAATAATTCCCACCATAATAGGTGGTGATTTATAATAGTATGTGGTGATGATATCCCGTTTTCTTTAGACGGTAATTCCACTACAAGTTACGTTTTCTATGGGTTAACTTGTTGGTAATACAGCAGCAATTATCTGACTGTATGATATATTAAATGGTGTCGGATTTTCCGACAGGTGGCATACCTCTAAATCTTCTCTAAATTTGCCTTGTCTTTAACTTGATATGGATTCCAGGTTAGACTTGCATTCTCCAGGATTATTCTGACATTTGTGGTATTCAAGATTCTAAATTATTCCTTACACAAGTTTCTAAAGCAGTTATTATACTGGCCGACCTGGCATATGCCGCTGATGATATGTGTGTGGGCTTCTGGGGACAGTTCTGGTGTGATATCAACCTCTAGACTTATTATATAACTCTTGAAAGGTTTCGCCTCCCAGGTGGTACCTTATGTTCAGCTTCCTGCTCCCTATTTTGGACCATTCTTCCAGTGTGACCAGGTAGTCTTGTAGTATCTTTTAATCTTTCTCTGCCTTTATCCATCTCACGGTTTTACCATCACCAGCAAACATTGAGAGGAATGAGTCTATTCCCTCAGGAATATGAAACAGAATGGGTCCAAATACCGAGCCCTGTGGGGCTGCTGGTGACATGTTCCCACTCTGAGGTCTTCTCCCTCACAGTTACTCGTAGTTTTCTGCTGTTTACAGATATTCCTATATTCACTGGCACACCTTAACTGTTATTCCTGCATGTTTCTCTAACTTCTGTACCAGCCTCTTATGGGGTACTGTGCCAAATAATTTATAACAGTCTAAGAAAATGCAGTCTGAATTTTTCACCGTTCTCTTTCTTGTCTATTTTTTGTCGCCTGGTCATAGAATACTATCAAGCCTGTGAGGCACGATTTACCATCCATGAACCCATGCTGGTGGTGTGTTACAAAGCTCCTTCTCTCCAGATGCTCTACGAGCCTTTTCCTCACAATCTTCTCCATCACCTTGCATGGTATACAAGTTAGGGAAACTGGCCTATAGTTCAGTGCCTCTTGCTTGTCACCCTTTTTGTATACTGGGACTACATTAGGTGTCTTCCTGTTTGCAGTTTCCTGAATGAATTATCACACACACTCCCCACCGGTTATCTTGAGATGATTTCGGGGCTTTTTAGTGTCCCCGCGGCTGTTCCTCGACCAGGCCTCCACCCCCAGGAAGCAGCCCGTGACAGCTGACTAACTCCCGAGTACCTATTTACTGCTAGGTAACAGGGGCATTCAGGGTGAAAGAAACTTTGCCCATTTGTTTCTGCCTCGTGCGGGAATCGAACCCGCGCCACAGAATTACGAGTCCTGCGCGCTATCCACCAGGCTACGAGTCCCCCCCGGTGAAGGAAGCTGTTTTCCGGGCAAGGCTATTTGGGTAGGTTTGTCCTCCTCGTGGGGTAGTTATCAAGGGTTTGGATGGAGGTGGAGTAGGCGATGGCTTAGGTCTTACTAAGGCCTGCCTAGGCCAGGAGGAAGACTAAGGGATGGGGGAGGTACGGGGTGCTTGGGGTGAGAGAGGAGGGAGGATTTGGGTGGTATGGTATATGGGGTAGGGAGGGTTCAATATTGAGGTGGGGTGGCCCTATGGCATGGCAGGTGGGGGTGTTGCAGTTTTGACTGAGGGTCAAATTGCTGGTTGTGGGTTCCCCACTTCCGTCTGGAATTGTTGGGATGGGGACCGTTGTTCCCTGGATCCCATCCCTCTCCCTGTGCCTCTTCCTTCTTCTGCCTACACTATCTCGTCCCTGGTCATGTCCCTCTGAAGGAATACATTTTTGTATTCCATTAGATTTTGAAGTTTGCTTCTCTCTACAAGATTGTGTGTGTTCATCTAGTTGTGCTTGCGGGGGTTGAGCTCTGCTCTTTCGACCCGCCTCTCAACTGTCAATCAGCTATTACCAACTGCTAACACACTTTTTCCTGCCCCTCCCCCCCACACACACACCCAGGAAGCAGCCTTTAGCAGCTGTCTAACTCCCAGGTACCTATTTACTGCTAGGTGAACTGGGGCTTCAGGGTGAAAGAAACTCGGCCCATTTTGTATGGGCCGGCTCAGAGTATCGATCCCCGGACCACAGGAGAACGTATTCACCATGCAGTCCACTCAGCCACGCGCACCCTGTTGTGTATTTACCTAGTTGTATTCACCAAGTTGTGCTTGCCAGGGTTGAGCTCTGCTCTTTCAACCCTCCTCTCAACTGTCAAGCAACTGCTACTGCTGCTATTTTTTTCCACACCACGCGCACACACACACTCCCCAGGAACCAGCCTGTGACAGCTGACTAACTCCCAGGTACCTATTTACTGCTAGGTAACAAGGGCATAGGGTGAAAGAAACTCTGCCCATCGTTTCTCGCCGGCGCCCGGGATCAAACCCGGAACCACAGGATCACGTGTTCAGCGTGCTGTCCTTTCGGCCACCGGCTCCCCGAGCCACACTGTGTGTGTGTGTGTACTCACCTAATTGTACTTAACTAATTGTGCTTGCGGGGAAAAGAGCTCTGGCTCTTTGGTCCCGCCTCTCAACTGTCAATCAACCGTTACTAGGTACTAACTGATATATTTGTTTTTCCACACACACACACACACACACACACACACACACACACACACACACACACACACACACACACACACACACACACACACACACACACACACACATAATTACCTACAAAATTCTGAGAGGAATTGACAGGGTAGATAAAGATGAACTGTTTAACACGGGTGGTACACGAACTAGTGGACACAGGTGGAAGCTGAGTATCCAAATGAGCCACAGGGACGTTAGAAAGAACTTTTCAGTGTCAGAGTAGTTAACAGGTGGAATGCATTAGGCAGTGATGTGGTGGAGGCTGACTCCATACACAGTTTCAAATGTAGTTATGTTAGAGCCCAGTAGGCTCAGGAATCTGTACACCAGTTGATTGACAGTTGAGAGGCGGGACCAAAGAGCCAGAGCTCAACCCCCGCAAGAAGAAGGCTTGTGAAGCAATCCTATAGCGATTTTGGTGGGCGGCATTGTTGAGGGCCTGAGCGCCCCTACGTCATAGATCCCTGTGGTTTGTGTGTGAGAACTGTAACGTTTGTGTGGGAGAACTGTAACGTTTGTGTGGGAGAACTGCAACGTTTGTGTGTGAGAACTGTAACGTTTGTGTGGGAGAACTGCAACGTTTGTGTGGGAGAACTGCAACGTTTGTGTGGGAGAACTGCAACGTTTGTGTGGGAGAACTGTAACGTTTGTGTGGGAGAACTGCAACGTTTGTGTGTGAGAACTGTAACGTTTGTGTGTGAGAACTGCAACGTTTGTGTGGGAGAACTGCAACGTTTGTGTGGGAGAACTGCAACGTTTGTGTGTGAGAACTGCAACGTT